AGTTCCCTTAGGAGTCTACCATCAAATTAGAGCCCTTGGGACCAAAATTTCTCCGTTATTCTCTATCTCAGGCGAGGCCGCTCCCACCGCTCAAACGGCTGAACTGCGAGTCCTTCAGTCCAGGGTGTCGATGAACTATGTTACACATATACACTGAAGTTATATAAAGTCTAATCTAAAACAACTAAAAAACTATCTTCTATTTGTATTTACAATAAATAAGACAGTACCTCAAGAAATTGTGTTTACACTGAAATGTGTTTTTACCGCTTTTACACACTAGGTTCACTGCATACTGCATGCCATGCCCTGAGGGTAACTTTAGGTCTCTATACTAATTCTGTCACATACACTCGCAAATTTACAAGGAATGATGTATCACTTATGCTTCTCAAACTCTCAACCCTAGACATTTTCTGATTAATGTGACAAATTGCTAAAATTGATAACATTGCTGTCCAGGACAGCACACTGCAGCACACTGAGCCGCGCATGGCACGGCAGGGAATGGCGCAGCGCAGCTCAAGCTGCAACTTACCTGCTTGTTCACTTTGCCGTGACTGTCGACCCTGAGATTGTTCTATAATGTCATTCAGCGCCATCACGTCTGCAAAACAAAACCATAGAATAAGATGTGAATTCCACACGAAAAACATATAAACGGGCGTATTACCTTTCATGTTGACTATGTTTTGGACGTGTCCCGAGTCTATGAAGGGGTTGTCCTGAAGTTTGGAGCGCTGCTCCTCACCCAGGTCTGCGGACGGCTCCTGCAGGTTCAAACAGAGGCGATTAGTATCGTTCGACTCAAAGACGGAGACGGAGTGATAGCTGCACTCACATATTCTCGGTAGGTAGGCTGCTGCGTGATGACGTGCGACTGCTGCGAGGCCTGCGACGCCCGCGACGAGCGCGAGCGCAGCCGGCTCTCCTTGGTGGGCTGCTTGGCCATGGGGCCGCCGAGCGCGCCCAGCAGGTCGCCGTGGGACGTGTACGACAGTCGCGAGGCGTGCGACGTGTAGGACGAGTGGCGCGACGAGTGGCCCAGGTTGGTGTAGTAGACAGGCACCACGATGGCGCCGTTTTCCTCCGACATGGGCGTGACGGCGTTCGAGTCGTCGGCGTAAGGGAGGTGTTCCTGGAGGGCAACAGAGAAAGGGTGAGTGACTGAAAGCTTCACGTGGCTGTGCCGACAACTCGGCCGCTTGCATGTCTCACCTGAGCATCCAGGTAAGTGTTGAGCACCAGAGGCTTTCGGTCTCCACCCCAGCGACCGGCGCGGGGCGGGTTCCTCATGGCAAACTGGTGTGAACTTCTGGAAGCCCTCCGGATGTTGAACGGTGACCCAGGAAGACTCAAACTGGCCTGGATAGGGACAACGTGCAAGGTGAGTTGCCATCAAATTCATAAAGATAAAAATGAATCTATATATAGACTCGGAAGTCAAATATTTTCGCCACAGCCATGTTTCCGAGCATGTTTCGATCAAAATTAATGTTGGGGGCTGGAGATGTTTACGGAGCTCGACTTTGAAGAAGTCCAAGCCAGCCAAATCAAAATATGACCCAAATACTCCTGAAATTTCGATTTATAGGGTTGGTAATGCGAGAGCACAGCTCGGTTTTCTAAACACCAAGGCAAATCTCATGAAAGTATAGCCTAATCCACTTGAACTATTAACAGGGCTGGAAATGTGAGCAAAGTTCGACTTTCCAGACGTAAGCCAACCCAATCAAATCATCAGCCAAAGCCACTTGAACTATGTACAGGGCTTCGCTGGCACAACAATGATATGCTGCGAGGAGCGCATTCGCGCGTGGGGCTACTTTACTAACACAACTACGACACCAAGCATGCAGTACGCAAAAAAAATAAGGTCAAAACTCGGAGATTCCGTGCAGTACTGTACGGTCTTGTCGGGTCTAAAATGGTGAACGTTTGTGAATATTTACACTGAAGGCTCAACTACTGATATACATATATATATGAAATACATTGGCTGTTTGTACAATATACGAGCCTGTTGTCCACTCTTTACCCTGACCAAGGACCACTTACAAAAATAGAATAAAAAATGAAACAGTACACAGATAAATTATCACGCTGTATCGGATCCTACGTTCACATTATTATGTACGAAATTAAAATGTTTAATTAGGCCCCAGGTGTTACTTGCGCTATCAAGACAACTAATAATTTGATTATGTTCCTGAAAACTTACAAATATAAAGTTAAGTTTCTTTTTGAATGTTGTTTTTAATAAGTAAGAGAAAAAGAGAAAAGCTTCATAGTGGCGCACAGTAGCCCAATGTACGCAGGATACTCCAGATAAAGCAAGTAACCCTGGGGTTGTAACATTTTCTTAGGTTTAAACGTACCTCCGTGAGGCTATCCTGGTAAGCAAAATGAAAGTCTGGTTTAGTAGGTGAGCGATACTGTACATACAAAAGCGACTAGAAGACGCGACCATTTAAATCGAAAATTGTATGATTAGAAGTGTGATATACCGTAAAGAGTGCAGACAAACAGTAAAATTTGCTGACGATTGAAAAATTTGAACCCAAGATTGAACGTTCTGGCATCATACTCAATTTACAATAGAACCAAATTCAAAATTCCCAGGTCAAAGAAAGAATTGTAAAAATAAAGTGCTCGTCTAGTATAATGTGCAATGTGAATTCACACCATGTAGAGATAATTCATATTAGTGAATCTTATATACACAGGAAGGGTCAGGGACATTCCTACAGTTTCCCAAGTCAGGAAACAGTCTACACATCAGCACACACATATACAGAGCACACTAGCTGCAAAAGTATCACAGCGAAAAGCGACTTGGTAAGCTGTACATCGCTACCATCTGGATTCAAAATGAAATGGCCGTTGCTCTCTCACAGGAGGTGTGCCGCAACACCCTGGCCGTGAGGTGGACTCTCACATGCTCGCACTGAAGCGGAAGCAAGGCGGTCCTGGTGTTCCAGGCCAGCGATTTCGAATCCAGATAATGTGGGTCATCAAGCTCGCGATGTTAGAAGACGGGAAACCCCCAAATGACAATCTCCCCCTATTGGTGCGCCAGGACCGTGCCGTCGGGGACTTACTGCACTCATCTTCCGCGACTTTGTCTGGCCCGCGCGGGTGTGGTGTTCGCTCAGCGACTCGGCGCAGTCGTCCGACCGGATGCTCATCTTCTCCCTGTTGTTGTCGTCAATGTTGCCCTTCTCCTGGCCCACGAACAGTTCGTAGCTTTGACACGAAAACGCTGAAAAAAGAAGACCCAGCTTTGTCAGACACGACCCTCCAGCTCTTCGAGCGTGACGGCATATCACAAACAATCACTGTCAAAAATGGTTGTATCGGGTACAGAAAATTTTTCCATGAAAGAAGTCGAACAATTAGAATTCGAGATTGTTAATGTTAATGTACACGTATCGACTTGAAATCGAATGACGAACAAGACTGTGAGCTTAGTGCAGTGGGAGGGTGCACATATACGACTCATTTTGTGAAAAGCAAATTGAAAAATGTATCGTAATGCACAAACATATATTTCCCAGTGATTATCGCACACAGTCGAAAACAACCCAGTGTCCTTGTGTACCTGACGGCGACTTGGCGACGCTGCCCGCAGTGTCTGCCTCGTGAGTCGCAGCTTCCGCCGCCGCCGCCGCCTCAGCCGCGGCGTGCACCTTGGCCTCGTGTGCGGCGACGCGATTCACCCGTCTCGTCTCCTTGGCTGCGGCGGCCTCCTCGGCCTCCTGCGCGTCAAACACACCAACTTCTTGTGAGATTTGCACTTGGTAGTGCAAGAGGTACCCATAACAATCTTGCAAATCGTGATAAAAGCATGAAATTTGGCACAGAGGTTCCTGAGACCATTTAGAAACTTTTGGTCCGCAGCCCATTTCGATGGCTGCGTGTGGAGCCGAGATATTGAACAGTTTTTGGACACCTTGTACAAAATGCGATTTTGGCTGTTCTAGCTATGAAAATCGGCGTAAACATGCCTCTTTGCTAATGTTTCACATCGCGAGGATGTGTGGATGGTCCACTGATGTGATACCCACGGTGAGAAAGCCCCTGTACCAAATCTGTTCAAGGTTTGAACCCTTTTGAACACTTTGCAAAAGTTATGCCAAAACGACAAGCAGGGTGTCGTTTCCGACTAATTATACCCCTCTGATTTCGATTCTGCCATCCGATATTCATTTCCGGACCTTACTGACGCTCAAAAAGTGCGCGGAAGGGATGGCACTGCTGGGTTGCCTACCCACCAGGCGCTCGGCATTTCTGTAAATTTGTGTGTTGGCCCAGTAAGACGTTTGAATGGGCTCTACACTTTAATTATCGTTCTGAAATTGCCTAGAGATTGTCTTTTGCAAAATTACAGAATAATCCCACCCTGTTTAATAGCTCAAATCTCGTTCAAAGTACAAAATATTAGGTTTTTCCACGTTCAAATGCCGGAAAATTGCTTTATGTTATGGGTAGAGGGTTGCAAATACCATCATTCAATGCAGAATCACGCGGACTGAAAGAAAATATACGGGTTTGTGGTGTTGAGAGTGAAACAATTGTTGTCTGTAAAGAAAAACTGAGAAAAACTGAAATATCCCGACTTTTTTCGGTGTTCAAATTTTTGTTTTCGGCGTATTTTGATAAAACCAGCAGGTTTATGAAAAAAGTGACTTTTACAAACCATGCAGGGCCTGGCATTCTCTACAAAATTGAATCTAAGAAAATTTCTGTATTTCATAATCTACAGGCGCGAGAATAGTTCAAACTCCTCGAAGCGGTGCTTGAGTTCAAAGCCCCATGCTGCGGCCC